CTTTAGCATCAATAAGTTATTTATAAAATTAAATAAAAATTGTATAATAGGAGAACTTATTTTTCCTTTAGGTGTATATTGTAGTTTTAACTGATACATTACAGGATCATACGATGACATGATCACACGATACACTATCTCTGTATAAGAAGTTAAATTATCACTGGTGCTGTAATGGTAAGTGTGTAATCAAGTTGTAGACTTTAAAATTATTTAAATTATACTTTGGCTAATGATGTAGATACCGTAATAACATACTAGTTTATCAATAGTCGCAGTAAAATGAGATAGGGTTACGCTGGTACTTATCGAATGATATTTATCGTCACGGATATTACCCTTTATGAAAACGCTGGAGATCAAATGAGATTGTGAAATAGGTATTTTACTTACAATAGGAAGTCTGTTATTGAAACGATATAATAGAAATTTCCGGGAATTGACTACTTTCATATGTCATTGCATGCGTCAGTAAATGATAGCATTGCTATTATGTTATTATTTTAAAATTTCAATTAATTAAATGCGGTTCTAGATGATGAATGAAATATTATTTCATTCATTTCGAATAGCATAATGAAAGCATTGAACTCACTGTAACTAAGACGATGTAAAAGTGCCGATATCTTATATCAGTTATATTTTAAGGGCAGTGATTAGAATTATTTCGTGGCATCTGCGAATAACTGTACGCAGATATTTCGGTTATAAGAATAAAACTTTAAAAAATGTTATCGATAACAGGTTGAGATGCGACAAAGCCAAAATTGTTATCGTGACTCACCATTGGTATTGAATTACGAATCAGAAATTTTGAAACTTCCGAAAACGTGATTGGAACAGAAACAATTCATTTGATCAAAGAGATATTGAGAAATATAGCAGCTAGTTTGTTAGCCTAATTACTGTAGATACAGTTATTGGATACTACACTCATTTTCGAATGGCAAAAAATGGTATGATCAACGGTTAACTTGACGAATATTTTAATGATTCTTGCAAAGACTGGCTATAGTTTCCCGCTAGTATCATAGGCTAATAATCTTTTAATCCATAAATAGAGTTAATGTTGCGAGTAATGCCTTAATAGACAGGGCAAAGTTAAATTTCTAAAGCAGATTTGAAATAGCGCACAATTTTTCCTTCGTCTTTCAGAGAAGATTTTCACTTTTCTTCTATGCTACAATTCATCAAAGCAGTTGCAAATTGTTAAAACAACCCGAATAAGAATATTCAGCATTTTGGGTTTTAACCGTGTCTTGTATAATAAGGATTTTTTATAAACATGTCTAATACATGCTTAATGTTACGCTGAATGATATAATAAGAGCACTACAGTACTAGTCCGCTAATATAAAATACGGATAAAGCTCGAGATCCTGTTCTTACAGTTTGCATATTAATGTAATTAAGTATTAGGATTGAAGACTATTAGAAATACTTAGTATGATGTACGGTAGCGTGACTTTCTATAGTTATCTTAAGACATGTTTAATTGCTTATAACTATAGACTGCAGTGGAAGATTCTATGCCAGAATACAGATCAATATATACGAGTACAATACGGTGTCGAGTTACTATGAAGGCTAGAGGTAAAAAATAGATGGATAAATCATATACGCGTAATTGTATATGGTTAGTTCATTATACTCAGACAGGTAGAAATAATATCTATTAGTGAATACTGTAGCAATTTCTAAACTGGATTAATAATGGTCTAGTATAAAATGTTGTTACGAATAATAATCTGGATATATGTAAAATATGGTAAAATATTGCTATGCTGATCGTGGCCGCCAATGCAAGAAAAGTATATAAGCTGGCAACTAAGATTATTATAGTCCTTTTTAATGCCCTCAAACAAGATTAAAAATAGTGAGCGCTATTTTAGATTAAGTCATATTAACCTAAGTATAAATCTTAAAATGTTGATTGAAAGTTTGATTTAACATCGAAAATGGGTCGAAGATATGAAATTTCCTGATACTATAACTCTTTTGATCCAACATTTTAGCTCGAGACAAAATACGGACTTCATTATGAATTATTGCGTGATTTAGTGCAATACAAATTGCATCGTACTCTCTGATTAGTTAGAGATTTTCATTCCTATTTGTTACACTAAAATATTTGTGTCACAACCCTCACTCGTGACAAAGGAAAGTAAAGAACTCTAGTGTAGTTACTTAAAACTTGGGCTATTTCTCCCAGTACTTTCAGTTTCTATGAGAGAAGTATTTGAGAACTCGATTTCTCGGCTGATCTCCACAGATAACTGACTAATTATTACAATATTCTTCACGATATGAGTCTTGCCGTTTCTTGAGTAATTACTAACTTTATTCTACAAACACACGCGCTTAAATAGGTTTCTACAGTGAATTCCAATATTAACGAGTGAGAATTCATACTTTACAAGTTACATTAATTTGTATAATACCATTACTAAATATACATGTCGATATTCTCAGACTTAGATAGCTACAAGCTATCAGGTGTTAAGACGCTTAACCTTCGTCCATATACAGCTCAATTTTTAGATTAACACACCTTACAAACCTACAGTAAATTAACTGTTAACGACTTCTATTTTTATCTCATTTCTACCATCCTATTATCAGCTACAAGCGCATTAAGCATAGCACATAACCTTATCTTATCTATTCATAAGCATTCAGTTACTTAATTAGTAACAGCGTACCGCGACAATTTGATACAAAGAGAACCTTGTATGCTGCCGTATAGCAACGCTAGGAAACGTTGACTTGGCAACAATTGTGACTAGTGATATCTAAGGCAGAAATCGGTAGTGTTTATGGTTTTAGAGTTAGCACATACGCAGAGAACAGGATTTTAGGATTACACACATAATATTCCGTAATAGCTTATGTAATAGTAAATAGTTATAGAAAATAGTGATGATTGCAAGCATTATAAATATTTAAATATTAAAAGGTATATTTGAATACATCGCGTAAGTAGATTGTTAGATGTTCTGAATTCAAGATTAATGTAGAATTGCTATGTAAAGAATATCTTAATTGCAATACAATCTGAATATATTACATAAATTATGTGTAGATAAGTTTTTGCAATATATTTACTAACTCAAAGGACTATCTCGGATTTTACGTAAAGAAATATTTTATATTCTTTCCCCAAATTTCGCAGAAATATTTGTAAATACAAACAGTTACAGCTTTATTACATTATAAAATAACTACATGCAAAGTAGTGTTGTAATAATTGAAATCTGAGCGATAGGATATCACTAGCTTGAAGCTCTCTTTCTAGAGTTTTGCTTAATGTAAACCTCCATGTATTCGTAATTAGCAAGCTTGATAGAAATGGAACTACCTGTAGTGTACATTAAAAATAAGTATATCGCCTGGTTGATCTACAAACAAATAAGTATTATAAACTAAACTGTTAGAACGTAATAGATTCCATTCTAAATTAAGATTATTTAGAAAAAGCCGTTATGATAGAGCTAATTAAAATATAAACAAAGCAATCGATTATTTTCATCTAAATTAATTTCGTGTTATTTTCTATCAGTATTAACTTGATAGCAGTGATATTCACCATATTAAAAGTATTTTCCTCGTTCGGTAATCTCCTTATTTTTGAAATTGTCAGCCACATTATAGCAGACAAAAAATATATTTTATTAGATTATAGCCTTATTTATGGAAATTACTAATAAATAAATCTTATTCTGTATTTACAGATCAAATATTTTTAGGAAAATGAAGCTGCTGTCATTTAATATTATATATCATTACTTAATTAACTCTACCGGTAAATAAGTAAAATATCTAATAGTGTTGAAAGATTTTAATTTATTTCTCCTGTAGAGTAACTGTGATATATACCGATCACGAAATTCCAAATTTTAGAAAAATAAAGGCTTTATTGAATCTTATAAAAAGATTAACTACTCACTGCTCTACTCTAGCCGAATACTACTACTAAAGACTTCTAGAAAGAACTAACAGAATAATCTAAAGTTGCATGCTTTTATACTTTTCGTAGCATTTGCAGCTACAATTCGCATGGAAACCTTTTACCTTATTTTACACGTAGTTAATTTATTCTTAGTAACACTATTCTACTGCGGACCATCATTAATCCAATATGGATACGACTACAGTATTTACGTAGATATTATTTACACCAGTCAAAGTACAATAAATTAACCATATCCTTATATATGATTTACAGTTCTATTTTTACCTATAATCTTATTAGTAACTCAACACCTTACTGTATATAGTCATCTGTACCCTAGCATAGAGTCTATACCACTGCAGTCTATAGTTATGGCTACCAAATATCTCTTAGGATAAATATAGAAGTTACGCTACCGTACATTATACTAAACATGGCTAACAGTCTACAATAACAATACTAAGTTACATTACTGTAACATATCAGTTTGTGTGAAAATTTAAACATATTTAGATTTTATCAATGCTCGCTTTATCTCTTTTCATTTGCTGCATCTTTTGCTGTAGCTATAGGAATAAAAAAATTGGGCAAAAGAATAATCTTATCGTCTTACCCTTTGCTTGCAACATAGAATATTAGAATTAAAACTACAAACTATACAATTTGCCCAGTTTAGTAGTCTTACCTCAGAAATTATTAACTTTAACTTCATTAACTCTAATTCCTTGTCTCTGTTACTCAAATGCGATTTTGAACATGCATTATGAATTTTTCGATTGTATCTGGGAGAGCCGACTAGAGTTACTGATTTAAATTTGACTTGAGATATCTATAATTAAAGAGTTAATATTATAAAATTGCTATATTGGATTTATTGGTGAACTATCTTTAGTGTTTCATTTGAAATACTCCGTCCAAAATGTAAATTGTGGATTTTGAATATTCTGAACTGTACGTTCAAGTAATTCAGAATAAGTTGATTTTTATCATCCTAATCGTACACGATGCATTCTAACTGTTCTGCTTATTTGATAATATATCTAGTTTCTTACTGCCTAAATGCTTTGTTAATATGGTTATTTACCTTCGGGATAAATATTAAAGCCATGGACGTTGTGGTACATAAGATTATAAATCCAGCTTTTAAAGCATAGCCCGCATCAAGAATTAGATGAGATACCAAGTTAATAGTAACTCCAGCGCAGCTTAGGACGAAAATGTTATAAATTGTCATAGCGAGAGAACGTGAATCATTGAGTGAATCAATATCTATCTTTCTTGTTTTCCATGCTAAAATTACACCCCAAAGTAGTAGAAGCATCTTATAGGAAAATATTGCTGCTAGCCAAATGGTATTGTGTGAAGACTGGCAGACTTGAATTTGTTTTTGTACGATGATTTCTATATTTATATTTGAAAGTTTCTGTGCACCCAAATAAATATTAATCAATAAACTAAATAGTAGACTTATTTTATTATAACGAACCAACTAGTGATAAGTTCTCCTTGATCATAATTTAGGCCAAGAAATGAACTCTAATACTAAGACTGTAGCGCAGAGGTACATCAAATATATTTCGTACTTGCATTTAATTTCTAAATATTTACGCTCAGAGAGTGCATTAGCTATGCGATTTTTTTATTATATAAATGTAATTTTTATAATTAGATACATTTTTTGATTAAGATGGATAATACAGGCAATTATTACCTTTACTTTTTCGGTATTCACTACAGTAGTTTTAATAGGATCTATTACGGCCCATAAAATCAAAATCACAGCATCAATTGCAAGAATCTGCACTACATATCCAATCAATCGTAAGTCCTTGACAACCTAGATAATTGAACATAAAATTGCACTTGTTGTCAGTTCATTGGCGTATAATTCAATTTGGGTATTACGTGAACTAATATATGTCATTTAGTATTTTTTTTAGAATCTAATTCATAATTGAAACTTGAAATTTTAAAATGCGACGCAACCAACCAATTTTAAGCCACTGGCATTAAAGAATATTCTATATATTCGCCAAGTCTTAACAGTTACTGCACCAAATGCTATAGTAAAACCTAAACTTAGAAACCAAATTTGGATGGTGCACATGTATTGTCGTTGAATTGCGGGAATGAAACGGCCATCTAGTCCTAAAAATACTACCGATAGGTAGCACATGATACATCCATTTAAGATACAGTAATTTAAATTGGGACTTGACATCTTGATAAACCTAGCAGTTAAATGCAAATTCAGTGTTAACTAGGTTAATCTTAGTTGAAAATATTTTTATGTGATTCTATATAGTACAATTTATTTAAGCTTCATTATATAGAAGAGCTTCATTTATTCAATACACTATTATTAAAATTTTAAGTGTTCATAATTGCAATGTGAAAATCATTATTCGTTATCTTCTTTACTAGGTATTAACCTGTTATTTCTAAAGTAAGCCACAAATCCCGCAATAGCTACAGCAAACACTATTCCGGCAGCAGCAAAAGAACAAAACGAAATGAAAACCACGTTGGATATGCTATCTATCTGGACTATAATTTCCACTTGATCCCGGGGTCGGTAACCACCTTAAATTATAAGTAAATCACTTGATATTATTTTAAATAGTCTTTATATTTCTAGCTTGCATTTATTAATTTTCCCGTCAAATAATTTGATATACATACGAATTATTTGTAGTACAGATACTATACCTGGCCAACTAAAAGTTTGTTTTACTATTAATTTCTTCAGGTCTTGTCGATAGACGCCAATCATTTGAAGTTTATCATCTGTAAAATAATATTTTTTAAATTATGACTTATAACCCATCTTTGCTAATGCTATTCATTGAATATATCAATGCACCCATTCATAAAATGGAGTTTAGTACTAGTTTATTATAATTTTCATATAGCAAAACATATACTACAGATTCTACTCAATATATAAATCGTAGGCCATAGTAAATCACATACAGAATTTTAAGCAGCGTATTTTATTACCGATTCTCTAACGATTTGTGATACTACATAGGAGTAAAACTAGGTCTGGTAGTAAGGAAGAATTTCTTATGACAATAGATAATGGAAATTATGGTATGGACTAAGAATATACTCTACAAAAATAGCATAGCTGCTTAAATGTGATACTTAGCTAAACTATAACTTGAAGATTGTGAACAGATCACTTGAACTTACATAACTAAGTACACGAACAAAATTCTATGATTACTATCACCTTTTGTAAAGTTGAAATCGAAACTCCTAAATTATCATAAGCTTAGCTTCATCTGCTCATTATTGTCAACTGTCTTAAATTTTGTATTACTTTTTAATTGTAGGTTATTTTATTCTACACAATATATTGACAACAATAACCTATCAAACAGCTTCGCTAGAGTCCAGAAATAAAAATATAAAGCTTAAATATCTACTATTTTAATAATATTATGTTTCCAAATCTTATTTTATGTTATCATAAGTAACGCCATTAATATTATTTGATATAATTTTAAATCAGATCTAACTTCTAATTTTAGTTAATTGTTTGTACAGCATGCTCAAAGTTAGCAATTGGTTATCACTTGTTAATTAAAATAGATAAATTTTATTTTAAAAATTTTATGGGAAATTAAATTATAAATTTATCATCAATCTCACCTTCTTGTCGTAAGATTTCTATGTCTCCTAGCCGAGTCCCATTATCAAAGTGTACCTGACCCTAAAAGTACAAAATCGTTTAATACTTATGTTAATATCTATCTGTTAATAACTTCAATGTATTTACATAAGCTGCAATAACTTTTTGTTACAGTATCAATCTAATTGACTATAAGTCTTTACTGGTACATACCGTTGTGCCATAAAATTTAATTCGGTTCAATTCGTCAGCCAAAATTGTATTGGTTCGTTTATCATTATATTGAAATTGTTTCAGTGAGTAATTTAGATTTTGCAGTCGATTTTCTGTGGCATTTAAAGCTAAAGCCATAGTCCAGACAGCATCATAAAGCTGCCCAGCTACCATACAGCGTGTGCTGCTAGATTTAATTTTCGTTAGAAAATCTTGATAAAATTGGGTTCCATTCTACAATATGGTTAGTTTTTATATTATTACTAAACTTTTAATCGATTATTAAATATATTTTATAAGGAACAAGCTAATATATACCGCTACATCTATTGCGACAATAATTACTACAATTATTATTTTTGGCTGCGTTACCGGTATCGGCCGTAACATATAAACTTCCAAAGAATTATGATACCTTTCCGTAAATAGTTTGTCGATGAGATGTGGAATAAAGGGGTACTCTCGAATAATAAGTCGAATTGATAATAACACCTTCCAGTTCTTCAGCGGTACAGTTAGAATATAGAGGCTCTCTACTCCACCAGTTATTATCATACTTGCCAACCATTAACCAAACGTACTGATATCCGTAAATTCCGGCTTTGTAAGCCTTTCAAAAATTTACATGGATGTAAAAAATTATTGTCTTCTTAAAAAATAAATTTAATTTATCCTTTTCTTGTCACTAATATGGTTACGGTCAATTTCCATAATTAAATAAAGGCGATATTAAGAACTTAAAAATAAAAATTAAAGCGATTGAGATCTATATTTACGACATTTAATCGTACTTTCTAAATTCTCTGACAGTCGACTCATATGCATTAATGTTTTAGAATTTACTGAATTTGTGTTACTGTGACACCTTAACGCATCGATATAAGTAACTTACCGTATATCGAATGTCGATATAACTCAAGTTATTGCTACATTTGTATAGAGTTTTCTGGTTTATTCTCACTGTCAGTTTGAGTACCGTACTAGTTTTTTCCAGTTATATAATACGTAAGATTTCTAACTCTTGAATATCTGCTAGATTCTATGGCTTTCTCTATCGCTGCATTTATATTTTAAAAGTGATGACAGCTTTTATATTTTTCTAAAAGCAACCGATTGCGTTGCATTTTTGAAACAAGCTAAAATGTAGAATAGTTTGAAACATTTTAGGAATGGATAAGAAAGAATGATTTTTTTAGTAGTAATTTGGATCACAATAATTGTAAATTTGAGGTAAGGAGGTTTACAGCCAGATAAAAGAGTTTATATCAGCAAATATTGAATTGAGTTATTACTACGAAGACTAAAAACTGTCTGATTATTTAGGACTCAAATGTTCAAGGAAAGAAAAGTATTCCATTCGAAATTTCATTTACGAATTACATTGGCACTGCATCGGAAAATACAATCATAATTAAATCTTTTTAAGCCTTATTATATTATCAATAATAACTGCTGATCTTTAATTAAGAATGTAATACTGATTATTAGGAATATTTAGCATTATTTATTGTGTAATGATTATTATCTTTGGAAAGTTTAGAATTTAGTATTATTTAGATTATTTATATCGCCATGTTTATTTGGTTTTAGAACGCTTATATCATTCTTACTTAAAATGAATGCCAGTAGTTAAGGTAATATATAATTATATAATTGATCAAAATATATATGATAAATTTTTTTATTTCTAAATTTGCTGCTTACATGCGTATATAGTATCAAATTGAGTATCAATTTATTAGATTAGATTATGGAAATTCCATTTCGGTTTACAAGGAAATTCAGAAATAAAGACTGCAAGCCTAAAAGGTTGAACGGTAGTTTAATACTAACCTCGCAAAGCAAAGGACTGGTATTATGTATATTACCCACCACAACAATGATTCGAGTATCCTTTTCCTACATTGGTAGTAAATAAAAAGACTATCTCAATAGTGTTTGTAAACTAGTAAGAAGAAGAAGAATTTTGCCTTCGCTTCTTTATGTGTCGAATAATGTGCTGTACATTACTAAAAAAAACAATAGTCATATCGAGTGAATTGTGCATTAGCATCCGGGAAAGCGATTAAAATACCTTAATGCCATTAATGGCTATAGTTTGCTTACTATCGAAACTTTCCATAACTAGAATTTCAATATTTGCCTTGGATAACTGCTGCTGAATTAAAGTTGCTACCTGTCGTGATAATAACAAGTAATTAAAATTCAGACTAGATACATCATATTTACATAGCAGCTATAATATTATTAACATTATTCCGTTACTGAAATCAATTTAATATCTACTGCTTAATTTATTCAGCCAAAGCTTAAAACCCAATGTAGTATCTTCTAATCGGAACAACGACATTACCATGGTAATATTTCATCATTTTCGCTCTATTCTGTTTTCAAAATTACTGATGCACATATCTAAATGGGTAACTGTTATAAATGTGTTGTTGGTTGAAAGCATGATTTTTATAGTTAACCCGATGATGTGCTGTTTTTTTACTACTGCATTACTATTAAAAGCACATCTGAGGGCAAATCTGGCTATAATTGCAGCAAATCGTTTACATTTTTTAATTATCTGTATACTGAAAGCGTTTAACTGATATTTAAGTCGACGGATTGTTACAGTGTTAAATACTGTATTACAGTAGAAATATCTATGTTAGGATAATTCTGTTAGACTATCCTTATTTAGTTAACTTCTAATTTGGATATACTGTGTTTTAATATAGCACTGACTTTTTATGACAGTGACTCTTATACACATACTGAAATTAATAGTTATAATAGGGAATGCAAACCATCTACTTACAGCTCCAATCATTGTGATTGTAATTTACTTTTGGTAGACTGTAAATTATCATGGAAATGTTCCGTGATAGGACATATCATAATCTGACTATTCTGTATTAGTCATTACATGTCTATGTTGGTAAATACTGTTGTCTGCATTAACGGAGCAGTAGCTAAAATTAATATCTAATTCAGTAAATCATTCCAATGTTAATTGTATTAACTATGACTCATGAACTATTGAGGAGTAGTATATAAATGCAGTATATCGTGAAATAAAGTGGATTCTCCAACTTAGTGTTTAACGTAAAATACGAGGTGTTTAAGTCTTTGTGTAGTCTGCTAGTAGAGCAAAAGTGTTTGTGATAGTGCAGATATCGTTCCTTGATACGTGGTTCAAGGAATTGACTTATTGATCGTATATTGCGTTATCTTGTTGCAAAGCTGTTTTGTGACACGGATACTTATATTCTAATCTAGTCTAAGACATAATAGGTCTTTCAAAATTGAGCTGCTATAATAATGATTTTCTACTTTTATCGAAATCTACAAAATATAATACCAAGTACTAAGTGATCACATACTCCTGGGTAG